TAAATAAATTTTTTTAAAAACATTTTTTATTTATTTGTGTGTGTGTGTGTGTGTGTGTGTGGCCAGCTCAGCCCACCAGGGGGCGGCGCTGGCTGGCATGTGGTGCTGGGGGATTGAACCGCGGTCCTTGTGCTTTGCTAAGCTTGTTCTAAGTAGGTGCTTTAGACCACTGAGCCATCTCACCAGCCCCTTAAATAAATTTTTGAAAAAAGTAGTCTGCACCCCAAGGCGGGAGCGCTAGAGCCATTCCATGTCGGAGAGAGCAGTGGGTTCCTTCCAGTGTCTGTGCCCGCAGACCGCGTCCCTGGACCAGGCAATTAAGACTGCCCACGAGTGTTATGACGACGAGATCCAGCTGTACAACGAGCAGATCGACAGCCTGCGGAGGGAGATTGAGGAGGCCGAGCGGACACTCGAGAGGACTTCGTATGACTGCCGGCAGCTGGCTGTGGCCCAGCAGACCCTGAAGAATGAGCTGGACCGCTACCAGCGCATCCTCGAGATCGAGGGCAACAGGTGTGGTGGCCGCCTGGGCCCTGTGTCCCTGTGGGCCAGTTCTCCTCCCATAGAGCCCTGCTGTGGGCTGAGCACGGTTCTGCACAGAGGGAAGGTAGTGGGGAAGGGACACGATATCCCTGACCTCTCAGGGCCTTAGGGGACTAGACAGAGACAGTAGATTTGGAGCCAAGGGGTGGTGGGGGTGATGAGCATGTGTTTGAGACCCCCCAGAGCAGGATCAGAGATGGCCTCAGGAAAAGGCTGCCTGTGTCCACTGGCCTGGGGCACTCAGTCTGGCAGTGCTCAATGGGATTGGTGCTGGTCCCCTGGCTGTCCCAGCACCGTCTGTCTTTCCATCACGGAGCTGTGACTTACTTGGACCCCAGTTACTGAGACTGTGGGAAATTCCTTCACTCGAGCTGATGCTGACATCCATACCACACATGCTTGGAGAGCAGGTGAGGTGAGGCTGTCCTGCTCCAGGTCAGCCCCTCTGATTTTTTGGGTTTGAGTTAAAAGCAGCCTCCTCCCCTGTGGAAACCCCAAAGGGCCATCTCTTCCCTCCGTCCTGTCCTCCAGGTGGGGTGCAAGTGCTCAAGTGTGCAGTGGGGAGAGCAGGGTTTCCTTCCTATCTACGGTTACAGTCAGCAAGTTGTGCACAATTCCCTGTTATATTTGTGTCCCTGCAAGCACTGTACGAGCACTTTTATGAAATCAAGCCTTGAACTGCATTTAAATGACCTTGTGGACATTGTTGTTTTGGGAGCAGGGTATCCCTAAAAGTTATCAGGGCTCTCATGGGTGGGTGGGACTCTTCTAATAGC